AAAAAAAAAAAAAAAAAAAAGAAAAGAAAAGAAAAGAAAAAAAACAACAACAAAAAACCGCTGTTGATCTACGACTAAACGATGGTACGTGCTATTTTTATAACCTTTATTTTTCATCTGACTGTTTGATATCACTAATTTGATTAGTTGTTTTTTACCACACTGATTCATTGAACGAAATCAGTATTCTGGCCTAATGTATCTTTAAAAAACCATTTTCCCTGATGTTTCCGTAAAAAATCAACGTGTTATTTTATTCGTCGTTCACCAAGCAAACATAGTCATATACAAATCTTGTGGTTACGATCTTTCTAGTTATGAGGTCTTATTGATTTCCAGAACTAATCGGCGGTTAACGCAGTTTCTCTTAATCTTATTGGATCGCCCATAATGAGCTTCTTTAACCAAGATTAGGTGGTTTGGCGGTTCAGTGTGTTCACAATACCAGACAAAATTCTCAACCATAAATTCTTTAAATAAACAGTACGTCGGAGATAAAGGTTCTTGGTTTTTTTTACTCCCTGTAGGATGGCTTTACCAACAAAATAATTTCCAAAAACCTTTTCATATGTGTCAGGTCTAAAGACCCGGAAGTTTGACGTCATTTTCCCGCTCTTTCTTACAGGCCAGGGAAACCGCAGTTCAAAATTAAGGCTGGCTCACTCCATATTGGCTTTATTGCTTCATCTGTAACAGATGAATAGGTAATTCAATCGTTATAGGCTCAGTGAGATTTTTATCGACAAAATCCTGAAGTAGTAAAATCAAACGCTACTAATTTTACATACATACATATAGCGACCAGCCGCCAAAAGTAAGGGTACAAAAGTAAACGAGTTGATAAGGATTAAAACAGCTTATCAAACATCGAGGCGTAGTAGTATCGCGTGACCACTCAATATCGATATCAAGGTGAGATTGAAGCTTTATTTTTCCTTATTGATAAATCCTCTGTATTCGCTCTATTTTCTCTAATTCACCATTTTTGATTTTAAATGATATCAGCGCTGATTTTTACCATCATTCTTACAATATCATCCTGTATTTCACTATTTCTTACCATAATCGTGTTCCATGGTTCATTAAGAAGTAATAACAACAGTTGGGGGAATAATGAGTTGGTTTTTCTTTCATAAATATATAGTTCTAAGTACATTGTTTACCCCAAAAATATTTATGCCATACATATGACATATATTTTGTTTCTGTCACACTACGTTTAGATTGWAGTCAAAATTCCAGGACGTAAACTGGAATCTGAAAAAAAATTTTTTTGTTTTGAAAGAGTTTTATAATCTACGTCTTCGGACATTGGAATTGGATGATCATCGGGGTGTCTAGAATATACCATTTTCTCCACTCACCCTAAATAAAAAATAGCGGCAAACCACTCTCAGTTAACAATAATTTACAACATCTAAGATCTCTGACTCTCTGTCAAGCGTTGGCCAGCCTTGGCGCCGTCGAGAGTATTGCGATTATAATAGAGTTATATATGATATTGGGTTTTAATGATAAACGGGCGTCACAAATCTACCTGTTAGACATCCTGGACCAGCAAATATGACGTTCCTTTCTAGAGAGAAATAGAGCATTATTAAGAAATGTTGTTTCAAATAATATTGGTTATATTGTTAATGGTTTATATATTGGTCTAAATTAATGAACAAGTACGTAATCATCCTCAAAGAAACATGAAAAATAATGAATTTAGGACTTCAGTTAGTAATACTTACAAGTCAGGATCAGAAGTAAAATAGGCTGGTCTGTGGTGGCCACAATCAGAAGTGTCTAAAAAGGGGCTGTGGCTCTCGTTCGTAGAGTTGTTGCTGATCCGAAATAATTCAGGTTCTGAGATTTCTCATAGCCGGGGTACAATGGACTCTTTGAACGCAAGTGAGGAATGGTGAGTTTCGATTGTTTACGATATGATGCTGACCAGGAGAGAACGCAGGCTCCGAATAATAGCTCTCGCTGACAAGCAGTACGCAGGTTCCGATAGGTTACTGATCAGGAGGGAACGCAGGCTCAGAAGATTACATTCAAGGAAGCTGGCCTGGGCTTTTGTTAGTAGATATTTGATGCTGACCTGAAATAATGCAGGATCTGGGACAGCAATGCTGACCAGAAGAATCGTAAGCTCGCGTGCACCGCAGCTAGCGCATCTAGTGAGGAGTGATGGGGTTTTGTTGGTAGACAAGACATCGGTAGACGAGCCGTTGAGCAGAAAATGTGCAAGCTGTGATGAGCGAGAGAAACGAGGGGCCTTCGTATTCGTACATGATGCGAAAGAATTAATGTATATATGCTCTTGGAATAAAACTCTGACGTGCATGCTGCAAAAAATACCATATAGCTATAGGGGAGGGAGGGGTGGGGAACAAGAGAGAAAAAGGGGCGAGACTCTGGTCCAAGGAAAACACATACCAAAAGGAAAACGTATATGTATCAAAATCATTTCGTAAACAGGAAAAGAATGAGTTGCGCGCAGATGTCAAGAAGCGGAGAAGAAAAAAGAAAACCAAACCAAGATTTTTCCTTAATCGTAGCGCGATCAACTTCTATAGTTAGCCACATAGCCCAGTATCTCTACTTTTGGGATTAACTTGCTTTAAGGGTTATTAGATATAGTTCTATTTAAGACTAATAAAAACCACAGTCAAAGCTTCTAAACAAAGATGACAACCCCAGTTTTGGAAAGCACCTTATAGAACAGTGCATAATCCAAAGTCAATTTATTCCTTTTTTATTGAAGATTTATTTACCAATCCGATCCTGGACAAGCTGTAGTTTATTATTAATTGGTGACAAATAATCTTAATCTGTAGTAGGCCGTTACCTTTTGGCAATCCTAATATGATTAATGTATTAGTATTTCACCAATCAGTAAAATAGCTCTGTTAGCGCGATTCGTCACTGGAGTTATTATGACTTAATCTAGTCTGGTATAGTTAGTTCTGAACCTGTCGAAGGAACCGGCTGTGTTGATCATAAATCGAAGGTGAGAAGTATAATATGTCAGTCCATTGAAGTCAATTTATCTTAATACATAAAATACATCTTGCACCCAAACATTTTCGCGAATTTCAAAACGCTTACATATTTTGCCATAAAAAGAAAAGTTTCTTCGACTTAACGTTAAGTAAATATTTAAAAATGTTATTTTCCGTTGCTTTTTATTTTTTTAAGTATATTTTTACTGAACACATAAAATACTTAGCTTTCTTACGTCGTTCCTTACGCCAAACAAAGCAACATCTGGATTTATAAATAGATTTTTATTTATTTGTGAAATGAAAAAGCTTTGTCAGTTTAAAAAACCAAGTATATTCACAGTAAATTTTGACACTGTTCACGGAGTCATAAATATATCTATATATACACAAGGCTTTCAAAAAAATAGATAATACCATAATAAATACATAGATATTTTACAAGCGATGAGATAATTTATTTGTCGTCAAGGACCTTCAAGGCAAAACAATGGCTACCTCAACTAACAAACTAACACTGAAAACTTTAAATAGCGACCTTAACTATTGCATAGTAAATGTAATATTTAACCTCTTGGATATAATGACTTTATAAAGATTTTATGTAAAAAGCAAAGGAAAAATATATCTAAGTTGTTTATTGGTGTGGAAAGTTTTGTGGGTCAATTGTTCGTGTTGTGAGTACCCTTGCCTCGAGGCGAATGGAAATGGAGGATTGATGGCGTAGAGGAGGGTATATTTCGTTTTTTGTCTGTAGACACTATTTGGTAAAAATCGTTGAATGCCAGACATGCTAAATAATTGATGACAAACTAGGAGCAGAAGGTAAGACAGTAAAAGTTCGATTTCCGAGTGATAATTCAAAAAAGAGAGTTTAAAACAAAGCAATTGAAATAAGAAACTTTCGACTTATAAGATTTTATTATTATATATTAACAAGCTTTTCGTTCCTGCTGCCCATCTAACACCTGTTCGACGAATTAACCATCTCAGCGCAATGATTAAGCGTCGAGGTTAGAACGCAATTGAAAAGCTAGCTAATCCAGTCAGAAAACTCTATATTTGCCTTAATCGCTCTTAGACAGTCTGATTCATGTTGTCTTAGTCTCATAGAGAAATAATTGATAATACAGTACATACAGTAATTCATTGGGAATAGACTAGTATATTTTTCTATAGCCAGTTTAACAAAAACGTTATTCTACTACAATGTTGCTATGACGGCTGATGTGGATCTGTCGTGATTGCGTCAGTGATTCGTTTGTGCGTAGACTTCGGGCGATTTAGTTGTTGTTTAACTTCTTCAATTTTGTATGCTGCTTAGACTGTTATACAAAGAGATAAAGCTAAACACTTTGGAAGACAGAAACTGGTTGTAAAATGGATGACTGTGACGGGGAGAAAGGAGGGGGGAGAGCTGAATGATAGACCGCGGTAGTTAGGCTTGGAAACACCTGATTGGTTGGGGAAGAAGTCGATTTGCGCATTCGGGTGCGCAGGTCCGGAAAGGGAAAAACTGTGCCGGAAATCTTAAATATGCGGACCGAAGCAGTTGAACCGTTTCTTTTCAAGACCGAGGGAAGAGGTTTACCCTATCGGGACCAACTTTAGGACGGTAAATAAATATTTAACCCCTTTACTTTTCGACTTGTTTAGCAATCCGTTATAACATGCGCGCGTGCGGATGAAGTCAGGATACCGGACCTCGGGCAGATTATGAGAAAATACCACCCGCTAAAACAGCCAATCAGAACACACGATTTTTAGGATATCAAGCCGGAAAAAGATCTATTATTACAACCAAGTGATGGTCGAGTGAAAAAAACTATATCAAACATTCTGATTTTTCTCTTGCAGCCAACTGGGACCATTAGACACCGAATCGAAATATGGCGACGATAGCTATTGTTCTGGACTGACTAGTCTTTGATCTCGTAATACGAGGCTAGTCACTCCAGAACAATAGTTATTCAAATTGGTCGCCATATTTCGATTCGTTGTATATTTCGCTAATTTTTAATTTGTTTAAATTTAACGTTATATTAATGGTACGCGGGTAATAATACATGGGATATTACATGGGCGCGCGGAGATACGAAATTTATCTTCGAGTGTTGAAAAGATCTCTCACGAGTGAGCGCCCATGTAATATTCTGTTTATTATATAATTATCCATAAAATCAATTTAATAAGCTTTTTATTATTATATAAAGTTTTTAGTTATTTTTACATGTGAAAATATCAGTTTTTCGAAAAGGAGAAATATATAGATGTCGATGAAATACCAGGTTTTCTCTAGTGTCGAAAATTTGATATCTTTCACCAGTGGAAGTTGTCGCTGTTGAATCGGCTTGCTATTTTAATAAAGAAATTTTGAGCTTTTGTTTTATTTAAGTTTCATCGATATCTATATAATAAACAGAACATTACATGGCTGCTTGGAGATACGAATTTTATCTTCTCGTGTTCAATTTAGATATCTCACTCGTTCGCTACGTTCACTCGTGAGATATCAATTGAACACTCGAAGATAAAATTCGTATCTCCGCTCGCCCATGTAATATCCTCTATGTATTTTATGGATAATTCATATGATAAGGGTTTTTATTTCATGGCAAAACGCGGAAACTAAACCCTGATTTTACTGTTAGGGTGCACGTCCTGATTTCTACTAGTGAAAGAGTAAAAAAAAACAAAGCAAAAATAGATGGAAGATAGATGGAAGATGGATGGACAATAAAAATAGGACAAATCTCGGTCTAAATAAGTGGGAACTGTTTCTGTTTGGAAATTATTGCATGATGTAAACTAGTGCTGGAGACAAAGGCAGCCCAGCAGGAGAGAACTTTCTTATGGAGTGTTCTTGTTTGCATATCAATCTAGTCTCAAAGATACACTATTTAACAGTGGATAATTGTATGAATTTATGTATTGATATTACTTTTGTGCTTCAAATAACGAAAAAATGATTTTGTTTTCTGATTGCGAAATCTTTGCTTTTCGGGATCAACGACAGCATTTAAGCGGGGGCCAACAGAGAGAGCCAACAAGACTTGGACCCCAGGTAAAGGAGCACGCATATATATGTCAAAATACGCCGGAGATCCAAAGTTTACAGCGTGGGGAAATTCTCATTACGATGAATGGTTTTGGTAATCGAATATATTCATCAAGCGGAGTCATTTTCTAAGGAATTCTCTGAAGACAGGAGCAAGCGAACTCGTGGTCTTTGTTTTATGGTCTTAGGAAGTTTTTTATTTCGGAGGAGACTTTCCTAAAGGCGGCGTCAGTGAAATTTTTAGAAGCATGAATCGTTTTTAGCAAGCCAATTCACTCCCGGAAGTTGAAAAGGTTGCGGGTTGCAGGGTTGCAGAACTTATGATCATCAATGTCGAACCTTAATCCATCTAGGTGTAGTTGCCAGAACCGCAACACAAAGCGCTTGGACATCTCCATCACTTTCTCAATATTCACACTTAAAACTTCAAATATAAAGTTGGACATTGCATGTTCGTAGAGAGTAACACACTCTTACTATATTCCAATGAGTAACACACTCTTTCTAGATTCCAATGAACAGGGATCATCACGAGGTTCCAGAATGTTCAATTGATTAAAAATTYTTGAAAATTTAAAATGAATTTTATTCAAAACAATGTGGAACTGCCACCATTGACGTCAGACTAATCAACAACCGCGTGAGATTTTTTCCCGTTATTGTTTTCAAGAATAGAATTCTCCCTCCTGGGTCCACAGACGTTATCTAGTCTATGTTTCGGAAATGAGGTTTGAAAAATTCAATCTTACTTGAAGTCAAGGGTCTTTCCTCTTTGGAGATGTTGCTTCCTTGTCCTTAATGACATTGATATCGAAGTCGACATATCTAGTGGTATTCTAGTTCCTCACGATGGACAGTTTTATAGTCTAGTACTTGCGGTAAGTCTTTGATAACAGTTATAAACTCATCACGCATAACGTTTACGTGATAGGAAACGCCAAGACAAGTCTAGGGTACTTATTTCTATTGCTTCTCACTGTCTTCACCTGAGAAGCGGAATTCCCAGAATACTTTCACACTTACTTCAGGCGCAAATTTTTTTATACGCAGAAGAAATCAGGACCGGACTAATGAAATAATCCGAATAACACTATTCGGTATTTTTTAGTTTGCGCTAATTAGGTGTTTCATCATAAACCAATAAATAATTTCGAGTGTTAATCGGGCAATGAAAGATATAGTGAAAAACATGACCCGTACAAAAATACAAATCTGATCGTTTTTTAAGAGTAGCGAGAAGTGAAATCCTTCAGAAGTGTTGGTTCAACGCTATTTCTCACCATCATGAGACGACGTCTACTTAGGATTTTGCAGTTCTTATCAGCCAAACTACTAGCCAAGAATTTCCTATAAAAATGTGGGCTATAAGCCATAAGAGCAAAGTGTTCTAGCTTGATAAGTAGAGCGGTTTCCTTAGATAACAGCGGAAACATGGCCAAATAAATCAGTTGCGCAATTCTACGAAAATTATCGTTCAAATATTGCAGAAGTACTGAGTAAAAGCTTGTAAAATGGCTATTACAGGAGAGATGGGTTTCAAAATCAAAATATCTAGTTGTGTGACCACTAACAAATGCCATGATCTACTAATAATTGGTTGGTTCATAGCTAATAATGATCACGCCATGTTTGTGTTAAGACTTGCGTTTTTGTCGATCGATTGCGACCTTAATATTTTACAGTAAACTTGATGTCACAGTGGATCGCAAACACTGACACGTATATTCGACATAGTGCCAAAACAAAGCTGATGTTCGTTGTATTTGCCAATCTTTTCTTCCACATGGCTTTCAAATATCGTGATAAGACATCAGTGCTTTAAAACGTCCTTTTATCCTTTCGCAGTAGGAGGGTTGTAAATCTCACGACATACGGCACGGAATTGTTTAACCAATAAGAAGGGAGAGAGAACTACCTAAAATTTAACAAACCGACCTGAAACAACCTCTGTACTTATCAAAGTCGCGGCACGGCTAATAGGCTTTTTGCAATAGATTGACACGTGATTGTTACTAGATGGCCAAAAAATTTGGACTTCCTTCATTTAAAGATTTTTTTGCTGGATTACTAATGTCGCATCCAAAACCTTTTCAAAAATACTTTTTTCCCTTATAAGATACTTTCGATTTCAAGATAAGAAGCAATTTAAAGTTTGTTTGCCATCCAGTAGAGCCTTCCCAAAGGGACCTTGTTCTGAATTGTTTCGTTATCAAAGTCATATATCAGCACGTGACTGTTTGTTGCAAAAGGCCTATTAACACAAGGATTGAATCAGTAATTTAGCGTATTAGGTTTTGCAGAGGTAGAAATTCCGGACACATGGACACGACACGGTCACCAGCATGGCACGAAACGGTACGTCTATCAGGTTTACTATTATTTGAATACTTTTTTTCAAATGTGAGATTTATGTAAACCGGCAAAAACAACCTCTGGGTTGATCTAAGCCATGGTACAGCTAGCACCGCGCTGACTGAATTATAGAAAAACCCTTGAAACAACGAAAAGACCCTAGAAAGGTTGATTTTGATTTCTGGAGACGTACCTTTTCAGCTTGGGTGTCAATGATGCTTCTCCATTCAGACCAGTCGTCATCCTCACACCAGCAAAGAAAGCAATAATAATAAAGGCAATGACTTGGGACCTGAAATAGGAAAATATTTATTGCAGAAGAAATTAATAGATAAGTTTTAAGAAAGAGGCTAATGCTGACACGAAGCAGGTTTGGTATGCGTGGGGAAGGTATACTGGCATGGTCTACGCTACAACACAGCAATATTATTAAGATATTTATTTTAGTTCAGTATTATTCTAGGGAATCAGAATTGTACTTCAAAATTAGATTAAGAATACTCTATAAAACTACCCCAGCATTTAGTGTTCCTAAAATATTTTTCCTGCCAAAARAGTTCGGGCGTATCTAATTTCAAAGAACGCGTGCGTTTTTAATGTTTTGTTAAAAAATAGCGCCAATAGATCAGACTTGTTAATCTAGATTTAAAATTAGCAAGTGGTTGGCATTACTTTTGTAGGAGAACGTTTCCTATTTATTCATCCATCCGTGATGAGTAGTTTTATGCCTTGCCAAGCTTCGCTTGTTTTGCTATTTGAATGTAAAGAAAGACTAGAGTACTTAATATAAATGACAACGACCACACAGGGAGAGAAGACAAATCACACAAATCTATGACATGAATCTATCCGACTAATCATCAATTGATTAGTGCCATTCATTATAGTTAACTTATCAATCCAGCAGTGTCATTTGGAAACAAATTGAGGCGTCTTAAGTATCTACCACAACACGTTAGATTTGAATATATATTAACTATGCGCTCGCCATTTGAAGTGAACCCACACTCGCATTTGGCAGGTTTTATGCCCATTATCATTATGTTTAGCAACGATGTTCTTGTTGCTGTTTAATAGGCCAGAAAACAAACGATTACTTCTCAGATGAAACCCTTCATATGATGATTTTGTTAAATAAGAATGGTCACTTTCTTTGGTGTGAAGATCACTCAAAATTTTACACTTTGTTAGTGTAAAACCGACCGCGAAAAAAAAAAAAAAAAAAAGGAAAAAATAACTCTTTTCAACGGGACCGTTTTGCAAAGCAACTATGACTTATTTAATCCCAATTATTTTTGTTCAAGAACCATTTCCGATTGAACTAAAATCCCTAAAAACCTTTGTTGCCACAAATCACGACCAAGCTCGTCAAAAGTATAAATGAATTATATTTAGTCAAGGTACTTGTTGTGTTGCTCTGTGGGAGAACAAGCCAGATGCTTATCCATGGACCTATTTTTGACTTTTCTTATGCTTCAGGAACCGACTTGAAATTTCGTCTCGATAAAACCGAAAACAATGGCATTCATGAGGCTATTGACAATCTAAAATCTTTGAACAATATGGACTTCTATTTGAAGTTTGCATATCATTACTCTTTTTGTTTGGCACATAAACGAAAAACAATGTATGTGTGAGCCAAAGAGATCCTTTGCTGAGTTATCCATAATTTACAGTTTATTTTACATTGTCCTCAAAGGGCATCACAATCAGCCTCATTCGGCTTAAATTTGACTATTATCAATTTTAAATCTGAAATAATATTGGGCCATAACTGTCGAGAGAGACTAAAGTACGAAACATTTGAAAAGATGTTGAAAGTGAAAACGGTAAGCCTCATTATCGAACCTTTTTACGGGTGGCCTATTCTTTTTGCATATTTTGTTATTCTTCTTGCTGGTGTACTAAGGGCTTCTCGAGTTGTTTGGTTCTTGGGGACCTTAACTTTAGGATTGGAGATAAGACCCTGTTTATACTGGATTAGTTTAGAAGCCTTAGAATAGTTCCAGGATTAGCTAATTTAGTACAAGTACAAACTGATGGAAGTGTTTCGTATTGGTAAGGAGCGGAAGTGAAGCCAGAAAAGTACCATGAATATGAAAAACAACCTTACTCGATTTTGAACTATTATTTTTCAATAGAAACGCCTGTCTACCGGTGGGATTACACAATGGTTATTASTCCAGACTTCTCTCAATAAAATTGATAAAGGATTGAGGTCATTAGTAAATCCTACAGAGTTAATTCGTAATGTACTATGTTCGATGAAAATTGGTGACATTTTTGATATATTTAGGTCTTACGAGTTAATTCGAAGCGACAGCTTATCGTTGTTTTGGCGCCCGATTACAAATTAGCTCTTGCGACGCTAGTCCACTTAGGGATGTTTTCTTTTGAGAACAGAAGAGCTAATATGCAAATGTTGGCGCATCCTAACGGTTGCAGTATTTGGTACTAACCTGTATCCCCCATAAACACCTTACAACAAAAAAAGAACCCTTTGTGAAGCTTTTCAATAAGCAATTGAATGAATTTCTAACGAAATATAAGATAATTTAAGCGTTTTTGGATGTCTGTTGACTGACAATATAATAGCTTCTTATCAGTCGAATGAGAATTTTTCGTTTATGATGAATGGATAGCTTCTGTCTCCGCCATACATGTTCACAAAGTACACTATCTTCCTAGCCTATAAACTTATGTCTTTGTTACTCTTCAATTGTATTTGATTGTATGAGAGAGCACACATGAAATACAATATGTCGGCTTATTTTCAGCTGTAAGGATCATTGGATTTAGGACAGAAGAAAACATTACATTGATCTTTCCAATTATTTAGTATTATTATTACTATTATTCGCGTAATTTATTATCATATTTGTAACCTATTATTATTATTATTAATGGTAACTGCGACGCTTTTAGTCTTTTCTTCATGATGATTATTATTAGTATTGTTAATAATTTATTATATATGAACCTATTATTATAATCAATAGTAACTGCAATGCTTCAAACTCGAACCCAGACACTTCGCTTGTCTTATTGATCTCACGCTGTGGTTGATGGGAAGGAATAAGTGGGTTCGCGGTGCATCAAGGGAAGGAAAGAAGAGAAAAGCGAAGCATCTTCACTTTTTCTCTCTCCTTCCCAAAAGCCATCGCGCGCATTAAAAAAGCGTGAGTGACGACTGGTTACGAGTTTGGCAATGCTTTTAGTCTTTTCTTCTTATTGATTATTATTAAAATTATTATTATTATTATCATCATTATTAATATTAATATTATTAATGTTAATTGCAATGCATTCCCACTGCTGTGATTCAGGAACATCTAACATTGACTTTAGATACATTTAAATGACGATCATACTCATGTAGCTTACGACGATTTTAGTTCAGATGGCTCTGTCACTTCCTTAAACCATACTATAGCACTAGTTTACACTTTCAAGCTTGGAGGGAAACTTGGTAACGAGCTTTTCCCGCTGATATAATTGTGGATTGTTCCCAACAATAATCAAATCTCATGGATAGGAAACGGGCTTTTCTATTTTGTTGTCGTATATTTTCATGTCAGATCACATAACATCCCTTGAGCATTCTTCTTTTCTTACTTTACCCATATCACTTGACATGGAAAAGATACATACATTTGATACATACATTATGATGTAATTAACTAGCTCAAAGCAACTCACATCCAAGAGGTCCAAGTTAAAAAAAGAAGTAAAATATCCTTTACAAAATTATGAAAGAAGTAACAAGTAAAGTGTGAGTTCTTTTGTATGTTCCTGTCAGCCTTTTATCAAAAGTAATTTTGAAAATAGTCTATAAGCTCCAAAAAGTGACATTAATATGAAGCTAGATGATTAACCAGGGATTAGAGAAAATGACTGTTTAATCATTCATTTTGTGTAAGAAAGTGTCAAGAAGAGCAGGTACGATAAATGTGGTCATGAAATATTTTTGTACTCAAAACAACTCGTTCTACAATCCAGCAAGAAAAACGACGTTTAAAAATGGTTCCATTTTAACAACAACAACAACAATAACAACGACAATGACAGAACCACCATATCATGAATTCAAATTCACCAGAAATATTTTACGAGAAAAGGAACAGTGAGTAAGACAACGATACGACTCAGCAACGTATACTACCAGTATTGCAGTTAAATTTTATTAGCCAATATTATTTCCGCCAGCAAAAGCAAACATTCTCTCCTTTTATGTCGCTATGTCTTAAAGCCTCGGCGTCGAGTTTTGGGGTCACACGCGGAGGCGAAACGTGGTCAATTATTGGTTTCCTGACCTATACATTCATCAGAGAACAACACACATCAATAAGTACTTAGCAGACGTATGTTACGACTGTTAATATTCGTTGGATTTAGGCGAAACTTTGTGATATTGATGTTCCAAGCTAAAGTTTTTTTTTTCCTTTTCTTTTGTATCTCTTCTCCGTTTTGTGAACACATCGTACAACATTAAACACGATATCTATAGCCAATGTCGTCAAGTAGCCTAGTTATTTTACTGAAATACATAATATAGTCAAACAATCATTCTAGTTTTACAAATATAAGAGAGAGACAAGTTGAAACAGGAGGTGTTTAATTCTTCATTTACATTCAGTTTCCTTAACCTTTTTTAGTCCAAATGTTACTCAACTATATGATTTGATTATCTGTTTTTCTGTTTAACAGTGATCGCCGTGGATACCTGGCAGACTCAAGATCTCCTGCCAAGCCTTAACAGTTGATATGCAGTATGATCAGTATCAGTGCTTCGCGGACTGCTTATTCCCGTCATTCGCCTGTCCAGAGAAGGACAAAGACACGCCCTACACAAACATTAGCAAAGACCCAGCACGTCAAGCCTAGTGGGGTCAAGGTCATCATTAATGTTGGTGGACGCAAATTTGTCACGTGGAAAGATACTTTGCAACGTTTTCCAAATACTTTACTGGGAAATGAAAAACTGTCCTCTAAATTTTATGACCAGAGTAGGGGAGAGTATTTCATTGACAGAGATCCGCATTTGTTTCGTTATATATTGAATTATTATCGGAATGGCAAGCTACATCGTTCCATCGATGACTGCAACGAGAGTTTCGAGGAAGAGCTTATTTTTTACGGTATAGCACCTCAAGAGATTCACGACTGCTGTTTCGACGAGGATCAAGAGGAGGAACAGCAAAATCAAGAAAAAATAAGACAACAGGCTGAAGAAGCAAACAAACCAGTTTACGTCCCTAAAACATGGTTTGGCAAAATTAGGAACTGTATTTGGAGGACACTTGAAGGGGAAATTGAAAGCGGTATAGGAAATGTCATTGGTATGGGATTTATTTATTTCGTTGGTTTGTTCATCATTCTTAGTATATTTACAACAGTTTACGAGACTGTACCCTGCACCGATGGAATCAAAGCATGTGAAGAAAGAACTTATATTCTTGACCTTTTGGACTTGATTTGCATTGGTGTGTTTTCTTTTGAGTTTGGGCTTCGTGTTTTGGTTTGTCCTGATTACAACGCATTTGTTAGGACTCCCATGAACCTTATTGACTTCTTTTCAATTCTACCGTTCTATGCACGACTTCTTCTTCAGTCAGTAGTTGGCTCCAACCTGGAAGCATTTATCGTGCTCAGAGTTTTGAGAATTTTTCGAGTCTTCAAATTATCGCGGCACTCCAAAAGACTTCAAAGATTTGGAGCTGCTATTGGGTCTTGTTTTCAAGACTTAATGTCTCTTACCTTTGTTCTTCTTGTTGCGGTGTTGTTATTTTCGAGTTTTATATATTTTATCGAGAAAGGTGCAGTGGAAGGGATGTTCACCAGTATTCCAGATAGTATGTGGTACACTATCGTCACCATGATCACATTAGGGTAAGTAATTTCTTAAACTTGTCTTATTATTCTTGGTGATATTAGGAAGCTGCCAGCTGATCTGAAAGAAAATGTTAGCCAATCTGAATCGAGAAAATTTGCAAAACTGAGGTGTCACTTTTCCTTTTGAAATTATGGATTTCCAGGCCACCAAATAAAAAAGATTAACGTCACTAATAAGAGGTTGATAACAATAACACCTAATAACTAATCAGAGCACGGGCAGCCCAAACAAGGTTCCTGTGTATGGTTTATAAGGGAATGTTTGGGAGTTATGATAAAGTTACGAAAATAAAATGTTTCACTCAACAATTTGCCTCAAAACTTGCTGCAGTTGTTGCTTTTGCTTTGTTCAGTCTTCTGACGAAGTTTCAGCGCGATTTGAGGCCGTTTAGTTAGGTAGAGAAGAGCGGATTTTGAAAAAACCCACTAAACGGCCACAACTCAGTTTTGCAGTGACATCAGTTTTCAAGTGACGTCGATTTTAGATAAGCTGTTGGAGTTCAAAATAATCATAGATCATAAACACGATGCATCATGATCTAGCTTGGGTACAAACAACCCCTTCTATGATAGAAGGCTTAAATCTGTGGACGCTCAAGTTCAAGGGAAATTAGAAAATGTTTAACAAATCAATGAAATTCTAGGAAATTCGCAATATTGGAACTCTTGAGTATTCCTGTGTTTGTTAATAATGAAATTATTTGCTATCACTAATCGACATGTTTGTTTCTTTATTATTCAGTTACGGTGACATGGTACCTTCTACTGTACCAGGCCAACTTCTTGGTGCAATGTGTTGTATATCTGGAGTAATACTTATTGCTCTGCCAATCCCCATCATTCAGGAAAAGGACATCTTTAAGAAGAATATGATAAACGTCTATGATGTAGATGACTTGCGAAAGAAAATTGAAAAAATGAAAAAGGAAAACGGGAATGAAAATGAAAATGGATAAGTAATTCGTCGAATCTTCTTTGCATTATCTGCTGTTATGTACATGCAATGGCTCACGATTGCTCGAGTCCGATTGCCATGGATACGGAGCACCCAATAAGATACACGATGAATGTCCAACCCTTACACATCCTTGTGGAAGGTTCTTGGATTCATGCGGATAAAATTAACCCGAAACTGGAGTGTGTTTTATGATTCAATGGCAGCAATAACTACAAAGGATTGGTTTATATATTTAAGCTTATAATTTGTCCCGGTTCGTATTATATCGTACATTACGATTGGACATCAAGGATTGGTCTATACATTAGAGCTCATGATTGGTTCGTATTCTATCGAACATTACGATTGGACGATGAAAGATTGGTTTTATATCAGTCCAAGCTTCTGATCGGTTTGTATTCTATCAAGCATTAAGATTTGTTGAATATGGGACATTCTGCGATAGATCGAATCAAAGATATAAAAGATCGATTATCAACTGCATACTTGCTAAAACTGCTTAAATCTAAATACCTATTTTCTATACTTTTGAATGGATTTGTCGACTTCTTCCGTAGAGGGAGTTTTGGAAATGACTCGAAAATATTTTTACTTTAATGAACGTGTTCTACCTTTAATGACATTCCTATTTACCATGCTTTTTTCAAAATAATTTTGTTGTCAAAATTTTGAAATCCTTACTAATTGATAATTGAAAATATCTTTTTGTATTTGTTAAGGACGTCGCACACTATGTGGGCTTGCAGGAAGGACATGAAATTGGGACAGGTTGGTCCTTTCATGCACTACCATTTGGCCAAAAGAGAGGTTGTGATGATAATGCGATGAATGACGAGTTTTTTACTAGTTCCGCGTTTTGCAGCGGAGTTTGTAAAGAGCATAAACAAGATATGGAAAATGAAAATGGGTCACTTTGTTCCCCACTTCATGATATCCATGTTCAAACCAGTTTGAATTAATGCAGGGACATAGGTTTGACTTTCTATTGTCTCACGGGCAGGGAATCAACTATTCTTGCTTAAGGATGTTCCTACTTCAGGTCCCCTTAGTTTGCGACGACCTTTTATGATAATAGCTGAACTAGATCTATATTTTTATTGACTTTAACTTCTAATAATTCTTAAATCCTTCTTTCTTCATCCATGCATTCGTACGTTCGTCTCTCGCTTGGTTCTCTGTCCTCCTCTATGTGTATCTGACTGCACGTGCTGACTGTGTGGCTCCCTTTTAGGCAGCAAGTCAGTAAGCAAGTCAGTCAGTCAGTCAGTCAGTCTGACTGTCTGTCTATAGTTAATGTTTACGTCGTTCTGCAAATGCTTTGTTGGTCTATCTATTCTTTCATTCGTCCTACTAGTATCTACTTACTTTGACGAAGGACTAGCGTCCGAAACGTCAGTAAGTTTTTTCATCTTTTCACGGTGTATAATCTACCTTTTTCATCATTACTTAGCCTTTTCACTGTTTTTCTGATTACCTTCCTTATTCTTCTTAAAATAATATAGACCAGAACTGGACCCCCTGTGTCTAATGTTTTACGCGCACAATATAAGTAGTACAAAATTATGTACTGATTGAGATACACGCGTGATTCAGATCAGAAATAAACTGAAATAAGTTTAGGTCCAGTTCTGGACTACTCATAATATAATACTATTGAGTGTTTGAGTTTGCCATTATATTTCGTAATGGTTATTATTATATAATTACCAATGAAATATCTATTTTTCTCTATTTCGAAAAATTGATATCTTCACACGTGAAAATAACATGTTATTTTCGCGTGTGAAAATAACACCATTGCGATGGCTATTCAAAAATACACGGGAAGAATTGCCTGAAAAAGCCAAAACATACTTCATTGATAATTATGTAATAAACAGAATATTACATGGGCGCTTGGAGATACGCAATTTATCTTCTCGTGTTGAAGATCTTTTCAACACTCGAAGATAAATTTCGTATCTCCTCGCGCCCATGTAATATCCTCTATTTATCAAAGTGTTTGGACATCAGAGTGAATATTGATATTTGAATATAGTGTTGAATTCAGATATGATTGATATTAAATCGAGTTGTTTGTTATTTATTTCATCATAAGTGTTATGGTGTATTCGATTGAATCTGGGTGAATCGTCCGTAACCTATGGCTAATTTATTTTTTGTTGAAGAGCAGAGAATGGTTTCTAGCTTATTCTCCAGAATCAGAGATTCTTGCCTAAGCCTTCAACACAGAGTCAAATAACTGGAGAGCCAGCATAAGTATTTTTAATAGACCGTTTTCTCAATGTTACGTGCGCATCCAAATTTAAGGAACTTGACGGGTCACGATACCAGAACACGAGTATTATCATGCATTACTTTTTTCGATAAGAATTCATAAAATCGATTATTCTCCTCTTTAACTATAAAACTATCTTCTCAATTTTACCGAATCTGCCCTTTTTAAGTTTTGTTGCCCGTCAAGTTTGATGCGCACGCATCCTTGAGAAAACGTTCTATTGAACGTTCTGAGCTCCAACAGGATGCGTTGTGGTCTAATTTAGGTACAAACAACGCCATATAAGGCGTCGTGACGAACAAATTAAAGATAATGTAATCAAAGCTAGATCATAATGCACCATGTTCGTTATAAACACGATGCATTGTGGTCTATACCTTCGAAACAAACAACACCATATAAGGCATGATGCACCAAGCTCGCTATCTCATAAAAGGGTCTTTGAGTATTTCCCTATTTTCAACCACGTGTGCCATTCCCACGAGAATAATTTCTATGATTCCTATTAACGACCGAGAAGTTATATTATAAAATGGATGAAACTTAACTCAAACAAAGAATCTTATTCTGAAGAGGTTTGAAATGCGAAAAACTCAAGCGACGCATTTAAACAAGAACTAAGTTCCAACTCGGAAACGCTCAAAAAAATTCGTTTGAGGAAAATTTCCTATAAAAGTTGCATCACTTTTGTCTTGACTAATTGGATAAGACCCCAGGCAATTAAACAGTGACGAACTAATTAAAGGGTTTCGTATCTTGTTTTGGAGCGTAATAAGGAAGATACTAATAAGTGGTGTAAAATTTTCTACCAATAATGAGAAATAAGGCGGGTTTCCTAATTCTAATTCTATATATTGGTAGCCTTAAGTGGTTTGCAAAACCTGTTAGGTTTTAAGTCCACCAGGAGTGGTAAATCCAATTAAATTTTTTTAATGATGATGGTCTATGAAATCATATATCATTTATTAATCAGGAAAAGGATTCGAAAAATATGGTTCATATATTAATGATAGTCTTTTTTCTTTGGAATAAGATCTCGTGTAAGGAAGGCAGTTTCTGATGGGATTTTATGGAAGTTTTGGATGGAAATTACCATGATTGCGTGATGTTGTATGTCAGTCCGTAAAGACTTCGACTGAAAATCAAAGATTCTAAAACACCTTGAGACAAATGTTTATAGAGATTAACACATGTTAAGAGCTTGGTATCGTTACGAGTTTCTATATCTTATCGCAAACCAGCGACGGTCCGCGAGCGAGTGAATGATTTGATATTGGACTAAACGAGTGAATAAAGATTCAAGATATGAGGCTCTTGACATATAATTTTTTGTTTCGAAAAAACTTTGCAAAAACTGATTCTGATTTGCAAGAAACTTGCTTTATCAGTTAGATTTCTTCCAAGTGTACCGTAATACTCAAATACGAACCAATTATGCTAATTACAAACTACTGAAGAGATAGAGAACGAGCGCGCGTGCTATATATGTCGAGTTATACAAGCACGCGGAAAATTGCGTGARTCCGAGAGAAGTGCTAGAAGACAACGTATAATAATGCTATTTCGCTATGTTTGACCTCTTTGACACCAACACTAGATATGGAATATTCTATCTTTTATACGCTTTTACTCCACTTTCTTGAGTAATTCATCGCTAATGACAAGCTTCAATAAAGTTCTTCCGCTTAAAGAAGTCTAATTAAACCGTATAGTTTGTTTCTACAGTGCAAAAGGTAGTGCTATTCTAATTATTCTCATCATCTACACACTATCTAATTATTTCAGTGCGTATAGCTCAAATTCAGATTTCATTACCATGCCTTCACTCTACAAATAAGAACTCAAAGTAAACTCTTTGCGGCGCATAAATACCTTGGTCCTATCGTACGAAACCAATAGGAACGTTTTGTATAACTAGTTTATCTAACATATTGCCAATCTGGAAAACACTGTCACACCCATTGGAAAAAAAAGTTAAGAAAAACGAGAATCCTTATCTAATAATTAAGAATCGTTGTTGGAACAAGAATGGCTAGGATGTTTGTCTGATTCGTCAGGTAAGTTAAATGCTGTCACTAATCAGTTCTATTCATTCAATACTCACACTTATTACATATAGTGGCTTGATGAACCAAACGAAAATGACCGTTCGCCAACAGGATTGGCTTCATAGCTCAGTTGGTAGAGCATCGCACCGGCATCGCGGAGGTCATGGGTTCGATTCCCGTTGAAGCTTGAAATCATTTTTCTTAAAGAAAGTCTTTCTTTACAGCGTTCGCTTAGATCGCTCATTCACTGTGATGATCAACACATCTATCATAATCAGATACTGTACATCAAATAACAGTCATGTTTTAGTATTTCGCATCCATCAGAATCGCTTATTACTTTATTATTCTGCTTTTATGCGCCAATCTTCCGCAGTACATTTCTTTAGCACATCTTTTATATCGAAATTTTCAGAGCGCAAGCCGTCAATATGAGGAAGATTTATTGATTAAGACAAACGTTGTCGATTGATTAGAATTTTTCATTCTGTATTTGGAAATATCATAAATTGCTTCAGTCTACTCCTATGAGGTTTTCATTTAAAAAAATATTTTAAATCAAGTTGGTTATCCATCATGATCAACCGCTCCACCCCACCCCTCCTAAGTTACTAGATCTTAGCATATAAAAGTCGTGTATAGACCTCCTCTGCTTAGTAGTAATGTTTTCCCATTTCAGACCACGTATCATTCCCTGGATCTTTTTTTAGCGAATGCGCACGAAGACACTAACACATGCATACAAATAATACAAATAATCTTATCCTCAAGAGAACGACCTGTGGCTGAAATGGGAAAAAATTACGGCGAGGCCGAGGAGTTCTACTGGGTACTGCGTTTTCACGAGGGACTAAAAAAAGTTTTTTGGCAAGGGATCCATTCTCGCTCAGTCCATGGGAAGGAAGGCCTGTGTCTAAGGACAAAAAAAAAACATTGTCAACTAAAACATCAATCCTAATGACTGTAACCAATTAAATAAATTTCTCTGCAGCGTGTAATTTAATGGTTTTCTTAAGAGACAGCCACCTTCAACGAGAATATCATGAATAATTCCTCAGATTTTGCTTTGCTTTTTCAGTTGGAAAAAGGGCTTCTTTATGAATTGTCTGACAAATTTGACACTTAAAAACCAAGTGCAATCATGCGTTTTGCCGATGATTAGTTTGCGTTTTTCAGAAAGCCATTACCTAGCTGTCGATCCGCGTGGCACGTAGCTACCAAGTCCATTATGTTTTTCATTAAATATTTAGCAACAATCACCCATTTGTCATTTGCAGTAAGCTCAATAAATACTCTTTTTCAATATTGATCAAAATTTGAGGTAGCCTTTATAGGCAGCAAACCGTTCTATATTAAAGAGGAAATTGAAACTTCAACTGTTTCCTTGCATGTTTTGACCAAGAAGAGTTTCCTCGTGTTTGTGTCGAACCATGGTATTGAACACTATTAAAAATATGAGATGTTGGCAAAGCTTCAAATGACGTGTGTCTTTCAAGAGATCTGAATTCTTATTGGCTGACAACTAATTAAGGGCAGATCGTACATTAGTTCATATTGCTTGAACAACGTTATTGACACAAACCATCATTTTGGGAATCATGCTTCCGCGTGGTCGATCTGAATCTTTTTCTCTATCTTGTATGTATGGCACATAAACCATTATATGTGGTCCTTTGCATTGTTAAAACCAAAAATCATGCTCAACATGTAATTAAAATGACCCAGAGGTTGGAATTTAATTTTAAAAAAGGAATTGTTTACGCGACGCAAGTGTACCTTGGCGCCGTACTAACTCTTGTCCAATCAGAATCCAGCATTTGACGTCAAGATATTGATAAGGAAAAGCATGATGGGGCATGTTGTATAATGCATGCCGTTCTATTCGATAACAGACCAAACGTAGTAGAGGATAAATAATTTTATTTAGAGACAGTTGTGTGGGGAAAACATTTTGTTTTAAGGTAGGTCCTAAATACTTGAAATACTTGTCTATTTGTATATGTACTAGTATATGTCTATTTCACTTGTCTATTTGTGCTACAATAAATTCTGAAAATTCTTCTTAAATTTATTTGCGTTTTTAATTTTTTGCAATAATGATAGTCAGCTCAGGTGATAACGTCTCGCGGCACTTTTCTTAGTAAAATACATGAATCATAACCTTATTTACAAGACTATTTTAAACACTTGGCTAACGTGCAAGTCTTTTGTTTCAACAGAATTTAGTTTCGACCTACTCCGAGTTCGGTCATGAGAGCAAACTATTGGATAAATCTTTTTTAGTTCTCTTAGAAAAAAGAAAAAAACCCGAGGTGTTTGAATGAGACCGAACAAAATCATCTCAAAACCACAGTCTAAAATTGACTAATATAGTATTTCACGCGGTTTAGTCTGCATTTTAAGACAGT